GTGTCCCCCATCTTCCTAGCCATCAAATTCCTTACCTCAGATGCATCCTCAATACTAGAACCAGCTGGACTTCCAGGTTCTGAATAGAAACTCAGGAAATGGGTAAAGAATCCAGCAATGCGCTCCATGGTGTCCTATAAGTCAAAGAGATTTGAATTCATATTCCATTGATGTCACTTACTAGGTACGTGATTTCACACAAGTCATTTTCTATCTCAGAGTCTCAGAGTTCTGAGGATGAGAATGCACACCTTATATGGTTTATTGGAAAGATTAAATAAGACAAACTCCTGTCATGAAGTGCTCAAGTGATGATTGCTCTCTGTTCCCATTAATTAATTAATATTTTTATAGTTATATTACTAGGGCAAGGCCAGATATATACTGAGTGGTCAGATTATTATGATCTCTGAACCCATAATAATCTGGCCACTCAGTATATATGTGTGTGTGTGTGTGTGTGTGTGTGTGTGTGTGTGTGTATATGTATGTGTGTGTATATAATATATATATATATGTATATATATATGTGTGTATATATATATATATACATATATATATAAAATATTAGAGGCCCGATGCACAAAGATTTATGCAAGAATGGGCTTTCCTTCCCCTGGCTGCCAGCACTGCCTTAGCTCTGGCTGGAGCCTTCCCACACTGCCCAGAGGCCCAGAGCAGCTGGGATAGTGCGGCATGCCTGTATTGTTGCCATGGCGAGAATGCAAGCGTCCCACCCCCAGCTGTTCAGACCCTGTATATGCAAATCAGCCCACATATTTGATGGGTTGATTTGCATACTCACTTCTGATTAGCTGATGGGCATCATGAAGGTATGATTAGTTTGCATATTTCTATTTTATTAGTGTAGATATTAGAGGCCCAGTGCATGGGTGGGGTCCAGCCAGCCTGGCCAGTGGGAGGGGACATGAATGGTTAGCAGGCCTGCCTGCTGGTCAAATTCCTGGTCAAGGGGAAAATTTGCATATCAGCCTTTTATTATATAGGATATACATTGAGTGGCCAGATTATTATTATTATGTGTTCAAAGATCATAATAATCTGGCCACTCAGTGTACAAGGTATCCCCCAAAAATGTATATACACTTTAATAGCTGATGGTTCAATTTTGAAAATGAAATGTAGTTTAATAAACACTGCCTTTATAATTATTCAAAGTGTGCATATACATTTTTGGGACACCCTATATTAATAGATAGATGATAGATAAATAGATAGATAGATAGATAGATAGATAGATAGATAGATAATGTGTATATGTGTATGTGCATGTATAAAGCCTGATCCATAAGTTATGAAAATAATTTTGCTTCCAATATAGAGCTAGTTTGTTCATCATGTGTTATTCAGTTAAACAAACATATACTAAGTTTTTAATATTTGCTGGACATAGTATTAGGCCTGGACCATAAGAAAGGGTAGCTATTCAGTTCCTGTTTTCAAGGAGCTAATGATTTAAATCCTACCTGGCAGATGAGAAGTCCTATGTTCGTAGGGGTCTCTAAGAGATAAGATCTCCCCACACTGTTGGCAACTGCCATGTTCAATTCTCAGTTCTCTGAGCAATTTGTGTGTGTTTACAATTCTCTGATAATTGATGTGTCTCTGTTTCCTCATATGCTCAGCATCAGAAGGAAGAAAGAACAGTTGGCCACCATTTGTCACCTAATATGCCTTCATTCGCTGCGAGTTATTGAGTTATTTCTCTGTCTTCTCTTTCTAGATTAAATAATTCCAATCCCTTTAACCTTTCCTCAGAGGTCCTATTTGCCAGCCTTCAGTTTAATCATTTTCACTGCTCCCTTCTGGAGTCTCTCCAAGCATTCTGCATTAAAATACGTTGCTTTCTTATTGAGTTCACTCTTCTAAGCATCTCTTCCTTCACATAAACCAAGACAGAAGGAATCAGCTCCCAAATAAAAGAAAAAGAATAGACAGAAGGATAGATTTCCTATATAAGGAGCTCATGTAGAACATTCAAATGCTCAAGGAAAATTAACATTAATTGTCACTACTATTAAGAAGGACAGACCAAAACCATTTCTAAATTGTGCCAACTATTCTGTTTGACAATTATCTAAATTACTTTTCAGCAGATCAACTTATTAACAGCAAACACCAGCTTTGCTTTAGTTACACCTGAAATTTTCAGAAGACTGCTAATAAAATCACTAATGATATCAAATGGGATTTTTTGGTTCTGTGAAATACATCTGATCACCAAGTAGACCACAGAGAAGTCTCCATGTTATTCACAGCCATGCCTTTGACTGGTCAGTCCTAGAAAAGTGCAAGAAATATTTCTTTGCATTCTGTCAATCAATATAGATTAATATTTCCTGGGCTGAGATTGCAGCAAATTCTAAATAATTCCAGAAATGATGTATCAAGGCTGATAGAATACCTACTAATCATGGCATGACACCAATATAGGCAGAAAGAGGAAGATACAAAAACCAGAACCCTAGTAAAGTAACTCAACAGATGCATGATGACTAGTCAGAGATCTCTTTTTATGGAGAGTCCCACCTGTCTTTTTCTCTTATTGTGCCATCGAGATGAACCTACCCTTGTGAGATAGCAACATTCCTCTACACACACACACACACACACACACACACACACACACTCTCTCTCTCTCTCTCACACACTCACACACAGTTAAGATTCTAAGATTCTTTAGACAAATTTCCAAATCCTCTCAAGAAGCTGGAAGAACATTTACTGAATAATATTCTGCTTATTTCAGGGGCTGTTTTGCTTTGAAGCCACTGTTGAGAATTTTTTTTTTTTCATTCTTTATCTGGAAAAGTGAAAAGTATACTGAAGCTAGTGTTGCTCCTGCCAGTTGTAAGCTAGAACTGGCCGGGCAGAGATGGGTCTGTCCACACAGCCACAGGAGAACAGGAGACATTTTGGTTGCCAAGTTCTCTGAAGACTCCCTCAGTTCTGGTCACAGAACACGTCATGACTTCTTGTGGGAGTTTCTCAGGGAGGCGTAGTCCCATAGATAGGTGATTGTATCAAGCAATGTTTAATCCCAAGACTTGTAACATTAGCATAGTGATCGTTAAACAACCAGCATTTAGGATGGCCAAGAGCTTAAGAAATGCCCTCCCAGGTAAAAGTAGACAGTTCACCAGCTGTGTAATCATCAACCTTGACCTAGTAGGTCCCTCCTACCTTTACTAGTTCTCCATGTCCAGGCACATGACCTACGTGTTTGTCCCGCAGAGGGAAGGAAAGGCGTACGTCACATGTGCCACCACAGTGCGTGCACAATTGAGGTCTGGGAGTTCTAAAACAATGGGTGATGAAAGCCATAACACATTAATAGTTACCGATTTTATAAAAGCAAGATCCTAGTTATGAAGTGAACTACAAGTCGCCCCTGTTTTATTTATTTGATAGTAAATAGAGTCTCATAAATGCTTATCAAGTGGTAAGAGAGTGAGAGTAGGCATGGGTATTGATGTATGTGGCCAGGCTACTGTGTAGTGGTTATGGCAAGGGGCCAGGAACGCTAGATGAATAAATCACTAGTAGGCACAACTCTGGGCTCCTTCTTTATTCCAATATGTACTTTGGAGACTTAGATCAAATTATTTCAAAGAAACAGCAATTTGCACCACCCCACTCGAATCCGCTGCACCCTGGGAAGCAATTCTTATTCCATTTGAATCTGATAAATAACATCACCAACACTGAACACTGGCATTTGTTCATTGCGAGGATTAGAAGGGGAAAAAGAAATAAAACAAATAAAGGATAAGACAGAAATGAGAAAGAGACAAGAAGTGAAAACCTGAGATTGGTGAATTTTAAAAACATCCATCTATGATGAGCAGGTGACATTTTCAGTGAAGAGTGTCCTGATCTGAAAAAGTAAACTAAAATTCTGGTTGACTTTCAAAAGCCAACCATTTGGGTCATTCTTTAAATTAAAAAAAAAAAAAAAAAAAAAAAGACAGCCGACAGATTAAAGGAACTCCATTTATAAAAATCAAATGAACTTCTAACAAAGCTTGTTTGGGACATGAATAAATCATCTGGTCATGAATTATTCATTATTATCCAGAAACAAGCTGGGGATTCCAGGAACTGGGCTTGGGGAGGTGCTGACCCTGGGGTGGAGTGAGTTCATTGATTCATACCCACCAGGCGAAGCCAGGGAGCATGCCTGGGGTACCACCTTCTGATGCTGACCTTCCTGGATGCCCACTTGAGTTTAGAGAACATGTTAGCAGCCTTTGCACCTCAATGCATAAAGCAAATAGAGTTTAACTCACAGACCCTTTATTTGGAAAACTGCATCTTCTCAGTAACAGACACTATTTTTTTACCTCTAGACATTATATATATAATTGATTTTTTAAAAAATATATATAGAGGAAGGGAGAGAGATAGTTAGAAACATCGAATGAGAGAGAAACATCGATTAACTGCCTCCTGCAAACCCCCTACTGGGGATGTGCCCGCAACCAAGGTGCATGTTCTTGACGGGTACTGAACCTGGTACCCGTTCTATGCAGGCCAATGTTCTACCCACAAAGCCAAACCAGTTAGGGCTTTCATTTTATTTTTTAATATTTTTATTGATTTCAGAGAGGAAGGGAGAGGGAGAGAGAGATAGAAAAATCAACAATGATTGGCTGCCTCCTGTATGCCCCATCCTGGGGATGGAGCCTGCAACCTGGGCATATGCCCTTCAGCCCACAAGCTGACCCTCTAGTCACTGAGCCAAGCCAGCTTGCGGGGGAATGCATGCTGTACGCAGGGCACGCTAGCTGTGTGCAAACGATGGGAGCGGTGGAGAGTTTTTGTTGGAAAGAGGTGGCTAGGAAATTCTTTAATGAGAGACTGTTAAGCATAGTCTGACCTGTTTTAGAGGGTTGGACTTCCCAGCTCAGTGGGGTAGGGAGGGAAGAGAGAGTGCCTCTCAGATCCCATCAACTAATCCATGTGTGTGTGTGTTCCAGGCCCAAACTGCTTTGCAGGAACCACCATCATCCCGGCTGGCATCGAAGTGAAAGTGGACGAGTGTAACATCTGTCACTGCCACAACGGGGACTGGTGGAAGCCGGCGCAGTGCTCCAAACGCGAGTGCCAAGGCAAGCAGATCGTGTAGCGCCCGAGCCCGGCGATGCCCGGCAATGCCCACCTGCGGGGGGCGGATGCGGTGGTCTCCCCTCTGCACACATTTCCCACACAACGAACCGTTCACACGGACTCCCGCCAGCTGCCACAGGGTCACCAGCAAACCTCCTGGGGTGGATAGCAGTAGCTGTTTTCCTAAGAGGACATGTCTCTCTCGCTCTATCAGATATATATAGGACACGACTATGGAACCGCTTTTGTAACCACCCGCGCTGGACGGTGACTTGACCACTGGATTTCTGGGACAAAAACAAACAGCCTCACAGAAACAGGCTGCTTCTCCGGGGGCACTTCTATCCTGCGGGCACACCGTCTGCCGAGTTCATCCATGCTCACGCCCCTGTCCATCCTACATGGCATTTTTTCTCCTGTGGCATTCCTTCTTCCCATTGAGAGTCTAAGGGGCCAGATTTGTCCACCCAGCTGCGTCAAGCCGTGGTAAAGAAATGTCAGGAGCAAGGACCCTGCCCGACCAGGAAAACCAAAAGCATCCAACCAGTCCCTCATGCCCTGTAAGCCGAGAACAGAGAAGGGGTATGCAGAAGGACCCTCCGTTGGGCAAGGCAGGGACCTGGCCCCCGGTGCCTAGTCTGGGGGCTCCCCATTTCATTCTGACAAGCCACACATTCACCTGCCACACCTTGAAACTGCCAAATCACACACTGACACTGAAGTACACCACGAATGTGACTAAAGACCCCAAAGGAGACAGGTATCCCAAGTTGTAGCGTCCATCCCCAAACTGTCCCATGATGCTGACCTTGAGTTCAGCTTTGCTAAGGAGACACACTCCACCCCGCCGTCAGCTGGCACTCTAACCACAGAACCAGGGTGAGTCGCTCACTGTGAATCTGAACCCTTCTGAGCACTACTGGCCTTGGAGAACAGGTTGGGCTGGCAGCCAGTCATACAAGCAGGCAGTTTTTCAATGGTTCGGGACTGTTAGAGAAATGACCACTCAGCTCTCTTATCTAAAAACACAGATTCAGGACACTCTTTCCACCTCAAGTGCTGATTTAAACTCAAGATTAGGGTAGAGTGAGTCTTGCACAATACAATCCCATTAGTTGAACATTTTTTTTTAATGTATATATTAGATACTGAACAATTCAAGTGAAGAGTCTCAAGGTTGCCCTGGTAATGCTGCGAGTAGAGTTAACAGGAAAAATAAATAAATAAAACACACAGGGTATCTGATGCCACCTCCGAGTCAAGTGCAAATTGAGCAGTTCTGAAACCACATGGCATAGTTAGTTGCTTGTTTCACTTTCTTGTCTTGAAAACCCTGGTGCAGATCGGGCAAAAGGGTCCTTGAGGAAACTGGAAGGCTGTCTTTATTGTCATTGTTCTCGCCTCTCTGTCCCCCCACCCACCCACCCGGGTTTTGCCCTCACTTCTGTGGGGTGGCACATTCTAGAACAAGGTTTCCTCAGCCTTCGTGCTGTTGACATTTGGGGCCAGACAATTCATTGTTGGGGGAGGGGGGCGATCCTGTGTGCATTTTTAGGATGTTGAGCAAGATCCCTGAGCTCCATTCCCTACATGCCAACAGCATCACCGCAGGGGTAACCACAGCATGTCTCCGGACATGTCCATTGTCCCCGAGAGGATGGGGAGCGGGCGAAACATCAGCTGGTTGAGAAGCAGTGGTCTAGACTGGTCAGTGTAGAGTGGTTTCTGCCAGGGGACCCGCCAGGCGAGCTCAGGCTGAGCCTGTGGTCCGGGGGAGCCTCGGAGCCCATTGGGACATGCACAATCAGCAGCTCCCGGGGACGGGGTCGGTCTCCCCCAAAGGGAGCCATGCTTCCATGCCCCAGGTCCGCCTCGGGACACGTGTTTCTTAAGTCTCATCAACTGGATTTTCGTTTAAAATCGTCCATCTCTCCTCCCTGGAAGCACCTTCTGTCATCAAGAAAGAGTCGTCATTTCCAAAGCCAAGGTGGTGACGAGTGGGGCCTGACACCGCCCACGCACACTGTGCTGGTGTTAGGACACACACAGCCCCGCGGCGCCACGCGAGGGCGGGCATCGGGCCGCCTTCCCGTAGAGCACCCGCCCGCAGCAAGGTCGGTGCCTCTCAGTGCCACCGTGGCTACGTCACCCAGACAGCCATGAATCATTCATGAGCGCCTCTGCATGATTTATTCCCGCACTCCAAAGTCAAGGCATCTCATACTTCAGCTTATGTCTAGACAGAGATGTATTATAGAGCTTTCTTTGCCCTGAGGTTGTCTGCTTCCAGCTTCAAAAAATCCACACTCTTGGAAAGAAATAATAAAAATAATAAATGACAGGAATAAGATTTGCAACCCAGAAAACATCATTAATGGAGCCATGTAGCATAGTGCCCTATGTATTATTAAGGAGTTACTATGTTCTTAAAAAAAAAACAAAAAAAAACAGAAAGAGAGTGCCACTGGGAAGCCAGGGCACTGGAATGTTGCATCCAAATGTTGGCACGATGATAGCTGCAGTTAGAATTAACTAGAATGAAGTAGAATGTCCATCAAGAAATTCTCTTTATAGAGGCTGCTCCATGGCCCTGTGACCAGCCAGAGAAAGGAATTATATATATAATTGATTTTCCACAGAGAGGAAGGGAGAGGGACAGAGAGCTAGAAGCATCGATGAGAGAGAAGCATCGATCGGCTGCCTCTTGCACACCCCCCACTGGGGATGTGCCCGCAACCAAGGTACATGCCCTTGACCGGAATCGAACCTGGGACCCTTGAGTCCGCAGGCCCAAGCTCCATCCACTGAGCCGAACTGGTTTTGGCAGAAAGGGATTTTTTTTATTTTTTGTTGTTGGATGTTTTTCTCCTCTCAAAGTTTTACTCTAAGCTGTTTCCTTTGCAGCACTGAGATTTCCCCCCCTTTTAGGGAGAGAGGAACCTATACTGTGACAACTTCTCATGAACCGTCAAAACTGACAAAAGTCCTTCCACCCAGTTCATGGAGAAACTCTTCCCAAACTCTGAATGACGGAGTAATGATCCCACCTGTTGTTGTTGTTCCTCTGAAGGCTCCGTTCGCCACACACTGTCACCTCTGTCCTTCACTCCTGCCCGCCCCACCTTTGGTTCTCGGCTTTAACTACAGCTCTGCTTAAATACGGGATCAACAACAGCCTGTTTGTCAGCTGATGCCTGTTAAAAAAAAAAAAAGAAAAAAAAAAATTCAGTTTCTAAAATCTTTGAAAAATGGTGTGCCTGAAAACTAGTGAGAATAAAAACAGAAAACCTAAACTGTAAAAAAGGGGATTCTAGCAACAATATTTGATGTGTAAAGAATATATTATTAAAAGAAATTATTTTGTTAAATATAAAGTGTGTTAACCAGCAAGCATTGTCTGTGGTATATTTCCCTTCCTAAATGCCTTCCTTCTCCCTACCCTCCTCATTTAATGACCGATTCTCAGTGACTTCTATCATCCAAAAATACACATACCATTAGTGCTATATTCCTTTAAGATTAAGTGTTCGCTTTAGCATTTGCTTGTGTACATTGTCATTTTTCATAATATGAGGCAAGGCAGACTTGAGAGTCGGAGAAGAAGCTCAAATAAACGAACATCAAGAGTGTAAGTGACAGAAAATTATTTTCCTGACCCATATCCATACCGAACGCTAATCTATATTAATAAAAGGGTAATATGCTAATTAGACTGACTCGACTGGACATCTTCCGGTCATCCAGTCCTCCTTCCAGACAAAGCCATGGTGGTGGGGGCAGAAGCAGAGTCTGTTAGGGGCAATCAGGAGCAGGGGAAGGTGGTTAGGGGTGATCAGGCCAGCATGCAGAAGTTTTTAGTGGTGATCAGGAAGGCTGGCAGAGGCAGTTACAGGCAATTAGGCAGGCATGCAGAATGGTTAGGAGTATTCAGGCATTCAGGCAGGTGAGGGGTTAGGAGCCAGCAGACCCGGATTAAGAGAGGGATGTCTGACTACCAGCAGTTGGACATCCCCCAAGAGATTCCAGATTGCAAAGAGTGCAGACTGGGCTGAGGGACTCCCCACCACCCAGGTACGAATTTCATGCACCAGGACTCTAGTATTATAGTTTATAAATTGCCATCATCTTCTGCACTGTTAAAGGAAGACAGAAAAAAACGCAGCCACTAAGGAAACATCATGGAGTGCTCACACATAACCATCCACACCCCCACTCCACCTACATTCTCTGAAAACAAGATTACACGTGGTTGTTTTTCAATTTCCCAGGTGTCCAACTCTCTGCTCCCTGTGTCTCTGGCAAAGGTTGCTTTCAGTTAATTCCTAATTCCAGTTTCATAGCATAGGAGAGAAAACTATGAACTGTGATGGTCCTGGGTTGGTGGTTACTTGAGGGTTTATGTTAAGAATATACTTCTTTTTTTCTCTCTCTCTCTCTTTTTTTTTCTTTTCTTTTCTTTTCTTTTCTTTTCTTTCTTTCTTTCTTTTTTTTTTTTTTTAAGGGAACCTTCAAGATTTTGAAAGACAACTGATATCTCTGATCCAGCAACCTCACCTATACTTTCCACAGGTGTAAGGAATTTATACCTTAAACTAGAGGACCAGTGCACAAATTCATGAGGGGGCAGGGAAGTTCCTCCATCCCGGCCTGCACCCTCTCTAATCCGGGACCCCTCAGGGGGGTGTCCACTGTCTCTCACAATCAGGGACTGCTGGATCCTAACCACTTGCCTGCCTGCCTGACTGCCTGATTGTCCCTAACCCCTCTGCCTGCCTGATCTCCCCTAACTACTCCCCTGCTGGCCTGATTGCCTCTAACCACCTCTAACCACCTCTGCCTACCTGATCACCCCTAACCACCTCTGCCTGCCTGATATCCCCTAACCACTCTGCCTGCCTGATCTCCTCTAACTGCTCCCCTACAGGCCTGATCACCTCTAATCACCTCTTCCTTGCTCCGCACCCAGGATCCAGAATTCCCTCCTCTGGCCAGTTGCAGGCACCCCGGACCCGGGCCGGCTTCACCTGGCTGCAG